TTGAGACCAGGCTGGGCTACAAAGTGAGTTCAAGAATAGCCTGAACTGCATAGTGAGATCCTGTCTCAAAAAGATGAAAAAAACATTGTTGATGGTTTTATTTGTTTTTGCTTTTGGTAGCACTAGGGACCATACCCAGGGCTTTGTACATGCTAGGTAAGCAGCATCAGGAGCTCCAAGGAGTTACTGACATGTAATTAAAGATCCAAAAGTAGAACAAACTGAAGAGCTGACATAATCCTATTATTCCAGCTCCATTTCTCTGCTTTTCTTTTGGCCTTGGCTGGGCCCTCCCACATGAGTTGCCTTCTTATCCAGCTGCCATCCAAAGGAATGGATAATTCCAGTACTATACATGGAAGCTCAACCACATCTAATGTGTGAATCACTTCTGGGAAGTCTCACTGGAGGAGAGAGTAACAGCTTTTACCCATGCAATTTGCTGAGGTGAAGCGGGAAATATGCACAATTCTTCTTCAATTTCTGGCATCAGGGGTATTACTAGTCCCTACCATCTCTAGGCCTGAGGATGCTGAACTACATGGGTTATGGTTAAAAGAGGGAAAACAGAATAGATAGAACTCTTGAAGACTTTGGTATAGGCAAAGATTTTATGAGCAAAACCTTGATGGCACAGGAACTATCACAAAGAATTGACAACTGGGATCTCATCTCTTTTGCACAGCAAAAGAAATCAACAGAGTGAAGAGACAACCCACAGTGTGGGGAAAGATCTTTGCCAGCTGTTCCTCAGACAAAGGACTACTATCTAGAATATAAAGAACTAAAAAAAATCAGACCGCCAAATATAAAGACCCAATCCAAAAATGGCCATCTGAATTGAACAGATACTTTTCAGATGAAATAGAAATGGCACATAAATATATGAAAAAATGTCCAGGGGCTGGGGATTTAGCTCAGCGGCATAGCACCTGCCTGGCAAGCTCAAGGTCGTGAGTTCCATTCCCGGTACCAGAAAAAAAACAAAACAACAACAAAAAAACAAGCAAAAAATGTCTAACATCTCTGGTTATTCAAGAGATGCAAATCAAAACAACACTGAGATTCCATCTCACCCTGGAAAGAATGGCTCTTATCAATAAATCAATCAGTAACAAATGCTGGAGGGGATGTGGGGGAAAAGGAACCCTTCCCCACTGTTGGTAGGAGTGTAGATTGGTGCAACCACTGTGGAAAACAGTGTGGCAATTCCTCAAAAAACAAAAACTAGAGTTTCCATTTGATCCAGCTATTCCTCTTCTTCTTAAAAGAATTAAAAGCATCATACCATAGTGATAGATCCACACCCATATTTACAGCGGCTTAGTTTGTAATAGCCAAATCTTAGAAACTGCCCAAATGCCTATCAACTTGATATAGGGGAAATGCTGGATGTCAAATACACCGAGTTGCCAGGCATGGTGGCGCATGCCTATAATCCCAGCACTTGGGAGGCTGAGGCAAGAGGATCGTTATGTGTTCGAGGCCAGCCTGGGCTACAAAGTGAGTTCAAGGACAGCCTGAACTGCACGGTGAAAACCTGTCTCAAAAAGAAAAAGAAGGGCTAGGGATATAGCTCAGCGGCCTAAGTGCCTGCCTAGCAAG